ATGTCTGAAGCCAAAGTAGGCCTACGTCGTGATGTGGTGTGTTGGGACCAGAATGCTGCTCCATTCTGCTGCAAAATTATTATTATTACATGCACTGTTGTTGTTGTTCTTGTTGTTCTTGTTAATAATCGTGTATTGCCATTCTTTTTCTTTTATAATTCTTTTATAATTTAATGAGTCAAGTTTACCTTGTGAGGCGAGCGCCCCCACAGGCAGTCTGCCCAAGGGTACACCTTGTCCACCTCACATCTCACATGGACGCCTGTGTCCGTGAAGGTTTGGGTACAGATTGGGGCGTCTGGCTTACCTGTACACACACAGTGAAAGGGGGAGCGCTTTAGTGTGTTGGGGTGCAGGGTGGGGAAGGTATGAGTTTGAAGTCAATGTAGGTGGGCTGTTTTGGGTGTGGGTAGATGTGTAGATGTGTAATAATGACAATAATAAATAGCATTAACGCTGCGCAATCGAACACTGACTTACTCACTAACTCCCTTTCTCACTCACTGTCTGTCTGTCTGTCTGTCTCTCTCTCTCTCTCTCTCTCTCTCTCTCTCTCTCTCTCTCTCACTCTCTCTCACTCTCTCTCTCTCCTCTAATCTTTCACTTTTTCTCTCTGGCTATGTCAGAGTGAGAGTGTGCATGTTTATAAGTGTGTGTGTGTGTGTTTGTGTGTGTGTGTGTGCGTTAGTTTGTGTGTGTATGTCTGTGTGTATGTGTATGTGTGTGTGTCTGTGTATGTGTATGTCCATCAGTATGTATGTGTATGTGTGTTTATGTTTGTCTGTATATGATTATGTGTGTATGTATGTGAGTGTGTGCGTGCATCTGTTTGTGTGTGTGTGTATGACTGTATATGTATGTGTGTGTTAGTGTGTGTGTTCAAAACACGTCCTATGACAAACGAGAAAGGAGCTGCACTCACTATAGATGGGCAGATCGCAAAAGGCAGATTGCGGGGATCCAGTTTTGAACTGCGCAGAGCACGTCACTCTAGCATGCCTTTCGAAATCAGCTTTGAGGATTGTAAACTTTGACTTGACGACGCCTGAGGAGTTGTCCACATTGGCTTGGAAACCTTCATGCACCGGCTTACAACAAAAATCTGGGTAGCATGTCGCTTTGTGATCCTTGTCACCCACTGTCCAGGAGAGATTGGTCCATGGTGCCTGTTTGAAGGTACAGGTGACGTCAGCTGGGAGCGATTCATCAGTAGGAGGACAAGTCAGTTTCACATCTGGCAGTCCTGGGGCACAAAGACAGGGGCTTAGTTTTAGTAAGAGGTTTGCGACACTTTCAACACAAAAAGGTCGTATAGGTGCGGAAGGTTGGTGGTGTTTTAAAAGAGTAACGTTCAAAGAACAGAAAGAGAAGAGATAAGGAGGATGATCAATGTTTGATAGGAAAGAAGGAGCAAACCACATCAGAGCACCCGCCAACCACCCACGGAGAGCGTTTGAGTCTGACCGACTTTCGTAGATAACAACAACAACAACAAAATGTGGAGGGTTGTATGTGTGGGAATTTTAAAAATAAAATTTTAAAGGGTCGCGGGGAGGTAGGCGTGGAGATCAGGGTGAGGGTTTTAGATCTATGCAGTATTAACAAGAATCTGGTTTTGGAGGGGAAGGGAGATTGGAG